GCTCGATCTCACCTAGAACATCCTTGCTCATTTTTGCCCAGCTTGCACTGCCAATGATGCTGCCCAAGAGATCTGCGTTGCTTCTGATGTTCGCAACAGCGTTCCGATTTCGAAATGGAGGATCTCCCCGGTTGTGAATGGCGTACACCACGCACCCGAGGGAGTACATGTCGTTGCCTGAATCCAGCTTGTCGTCCAAAGCGTACTCAGGCGCAACGAAATTGAAGTCGCGTGACAGTTGAGGAGGCAGAGATGGATCATAGTCGAGAATGCAAGGGCTCGGCGTTCCGTCTGGTCGCATCACGGGGGTCAAGAAGGAGAAACCTCCAAGCTTCCAGTCGCCCTGTTCGAAGCGACGTGATTGACAGTCAGCAGCCTAGAGCAGTGAAACAGACGTGCCGAGCCTTCTCACCTTGGCGTTGATCAGAATGGCATCAGGGGTAAGGTTGCCGTGAATCATCTTCGCGGAGTGCAGGAACTCCAGCCCCCGAGCCACCTGCAGCAAGCCCTTCTGAATCTCCACCTCGTCTAGCTGCACATTATCCGATGCTCTTCCTGATGATTCGCTTGCCAGCAGTGCTTCCGATAAAGGCGCGAGCACCGGTTCCGTTGCAAAAATCAGCTCGTTCCTCGTTTCCTCCAACGGCTCTTGCGTCTCGAGAACGCATGGATGCCTCAAGCGAGTCAATGAGGAGGCCTGGTGGCGTAGCAAAGATGTGGTCAAAGTTGGCCATACACTTTGGATACACAAGGCTAGCGCAGGTTTCCCAAGCACCTAGCCGACAGCCAATCACTTCACCTCTCACCTCTTTCTTCAACGTCTCTGCGATCGCCTGTCGCTCCCCGCCCCGGCTTGTGAACGTGTGCGTCCATATGCTGACAGTCGTCCTGCCATCCGATGTGGCACCGCCAGCAGAGCTGCTTGGTCCGGCTCCATTTGCCGGTGCTGATCCACTGCGATGAGCTCTTTGTATCTTCCATAGACCTGCGTAGACTGCCGGAATCTTCTCGTCAACTGTATAGTTGGCACTGATGTTCGTGCGGCCGCTGCAAAAGTCGCAGGATAGGTACTGGGATGCGTAAGCTCTAACGTGTCATTGCCAACATCGACATCCTCTGAAACATACAAGTACGAGGACGCTTGCGAAAGAAAGGAAGCCATCGTGCTGGAAGTCGCTTGTCCTCGCTTGTGCGTCTGATGTCTTCGAGCTCGATTGGGAGACTGGTTTGGGGCAAGCACGTAGCGTCTTGATGTGTATGGAGCTTGGGTATGTGACTCAGCGCAGGCGGCTTCCAGTCAAGTCAGAGTCTGATGGGCAGTTGAAACGATATCCTTGGATGGACGATGAAAGCACAGCTGTAGCAGGCGGTGTTGGGTGTGTCATTCGCCCAGCATGCAGCTGGAAGCGCCCATCATTCCGTGTTTAAAGTCAAACACGTGACCGGCAATGCGAATCGAAAAATGCCCGCGGTTTGTAGAGGATCGGCTTCCCAGTGCCCTTGTATCAATGAATCCATCCATGTTCGGCCTGGCGTTGGTGGTAATAGGAATGTAGTCGGGTTTACACTAGCCACAATCGGCTGTTGTGATGGCTCCCATTCAAAATTGATCAAGTCTTTACAATGCTCATTACGACCCACCTGTTCATCAAGGCTCACAATGCTCAGTGCGATGAAAACTTATCAACTGATTGCGACGATTGATGTCTAAGGGAGCGCCCAACTCTCAAAC